AACAATATCTACCCCTATTTGTCATCGTCTTATGATTCTCAATAACTGTTAGAGAAGTTGAATTTCATGTTATCTGGTGAATGGTGACCAGCAGTAAAATCGAGAATGCACGTTTTGTCCTATTTGAGATTTGTCATCCGGACTTACTTGCCTGTGTTCACCAGTGAGTGGTGGTGTTTCCACTTAGAAGTGAACCCACCACCCACTGTTTCAAACGCCGGAGACTTATCCACTGAACTTCATGGGCCATGATAGCTGCCTTTCGGCAATTTGACTTTAACATAAATATCAAGCAGAATGATTTTGATACTCGTTAAACAGACTCAAACATAAATAAATGAAAGGGAAGTATTTCCTTTAACTTTTAGGACATCCACTGGAAGCTGGATGCTTGTGAAATAAAAAAAACTAAATCTAAAAGAAGGTAAAATAATGCAGAAGTAACTAAACTATAGTAGGATTTCTAAATCTTTTGAATGCACTCTTAAAGCTGTTACGAGGAGTAGTATTTTCTGGTTGACTGACTTTCACCGGTTCAATTATGAATTCATCAACAATGATCCTGGATAGATCCAACGCTTGGCAAAGCTGAAATATCTCATAGTTAATATTCTGCACCACTTAAACACTATGATTTCAGATGTTTTTTGTAAAATACTTTGACTTAACAGTTTGTTTTGAAGAATGCAATGACAGCCGTTTATTTGTTTAAATTAACACTTATTTTCATTACACTCCTATCTCTCTGAAATCATTGCCCTTTTTGAGTTTGTACATAGGTTTTACTAATCAATATCAAAAGGCACAAAACTTATTATTATTGTTCCCTTGGGTTCCTAGGGGAACATAGGGCTTCAACTGCACGTCTCCACTTGCTTCTGTCTTCTGCTGTACTTTTCACTTGCATCCATGTTAGTCCATACTGTTTCAGCTCCTCTTCACACGATCTCCTCCATGTCACCCTTGGGCGTCCCACTCGTCGCTTCCCTTTCGGGTTCCACTCGAGCACTGGCCTGACGCGCGATGTCACCCAACGGCCTTCTCAGCGAGTGTCCAATCCATCTCCACTTTCTCCTGCATATTTCTTCGGCGATTGGTTCTTGTTTTGTTTGTTTGTTCCCATAGTTTCTTGTTGGTGATTCTTTTCAGCCGTCTTACTTAGGTTCAAACCACCTTCCTCTAATTTCTTCTGTAACTATAGTAACGAAAAATAATCAACTTTTTAGTGACTGTGAGTACTTATCTGATCTAGTCGTAATAAATATTGCTGAGTACCTTCTTATTCAAGCTCTACAATTATAAATTTGGCGGGTTAAAGGATTCGAACTGGTGGCCAGTATTCTGCCAGCTGAACTGCTAGTCCTAAATGCTAACCATTTCATCAGTTCACTGGGATCGCTATTGGTACCGCCAAAGTTTCATGGGGATGAATAATATGTTACTGTTCGTAGTTCAGTTGGTAGAACGCCGGACTGGAAGCTCAACAAAGTCACTGCCTAGGATTTTCCAGTTCACCTTCATAATCATTCCCCTACTGTATCGACGACAGTCTGCTATTCAAAGCTATCTCAGATAATCTCACCATCACCTGTAAATGTGTTGGCTTCCATATGTAAGCCCGGGACTCTATACTAAAGATGCCATATATCTGGCAAATAACTTATTGCTATTACCAGCTAATTACTTGTTTTATTTAAAAATACATTATGTTTGTTTCCGTTCACGTGGATATCTAACTTTGATACCTACACAGTTACATGTGATGGTAATTGCATTACCGAATATTGGAAGAAATAGAAGAAGAAGACGAAGAAAAAGAAACAGTTCACATTTATAAATAAATCATGTGATTTGGAAATTCTTCTACGTCACAAGACGTTATTGAAGGAAAGAAATATCAGTTCAAGATATACTGAATAGTATTCACTTTCTTCATAGATAAACCAACTTATTTCCTATTCCCAGCTGTCTCTTTCTTTCTTCTTGATTTTCTCTTTCAGTATTATCTTTCATATGATATAGATTTGAATTTGTGCCTTTTTTCCATGGAGTATAAATAAACAATGATAAAAATTGAAAACATTGAATTCATTCAGCAAGAAGTGAAAGGTACAAATACAACTCCTAGGTGAAAATAGACTGTATGTGTGGTTGTGTGTGTGTGCTTACGTAACCAGTGTGAATACTTCTAAAATAAACTTAGCAGTAATGACGTTTCATAAGTAAAAGTAGACAGGTGAAATGCTGTCACAAGTATAAACTAACGATTAGAAAAATAAGGCTGCTAGTAAGTCTGGTAAAGGGGTAAAGTTGGGCGTGAGGCTAGCGATCTCACCTAGTAAAAAAGTGACACAAGCGCTACTGAAACTTCAAAGCCTAATGCTTGAAGTTCTATGTTCTACTCGGAACGCGAAGGAATGGGGATAAAGGTAGTTATAGTAGATCTGGTGATCTGATGTTTTATAGACTACGACTAATTTGGAGCTATTTCATCTACTTCTCATTCTTCCTCTATGGAAGAAAGTGAGGGATGACAGGATTTATACTCTTTTTTCTCGACTGTAATTAGCTAACTGCCTTCATTTACCTGTTACAGTAAGAATCCGTTGGCTAGGATGTCTGTTTGGTGAGCTAATGGTGCTTTTTTGTGGTACTTGACGGTAGTAAAGTGACCTGATCCTTACTACCGGTTATATGAGAGAGAAAGTGAGAGAGACGTCAGCAGTGCTGCCTTTCACTTCAGTCGTTAGATTTCGTCACAAATCAACATCTACTAGAGAGACCATTAAAGATCAGGGAGCACTGGAACGTTGTTTAGTCCTATTTTTGAGGTCTTTCAGCAGTGCGAATCCACAACCCTACCAGAGATCGAACCCGAGCTCTTCAGGTTACGAAACCAATCTCGTTGACCACTGAGCTAATTGGGCCGAAATTCAATGACCAGTGAATTCTAACTTCGTCAACTCGTGATATATAATGCTACCATCAGCAATGCCTTCGATGAGAATCCACCTCGCCTTGACTTAGTGGACCTCGTCCCTGAGCAAGAATGACGCTCAAAATCTTCAAGTTTTCGAGCTTGCATAGATTACTGATGACATCTCTAACTTCAGTAATAAGTGATATGGGCTAGAATCTGCAAAGGGGAAATCCAATGCATTTGAGAATATAGGTAAAAGTAGTCATTAATAATCAGTTTATCTGCCCATTAGAATAAATAGCATATTGGACTGTAAATTTTGTTATCTTCGATAATTTGTTGGAAATCCTTTTCGTGACAATCAGTGCAAGTTTCTGACCCATGTAGAAGAAGTGACTGACTTCACACTTGTGTTGAAAATCCGAATCTTGTTGTTTATGCTGGCTGAGTGCAGTGCAGAAGATTTCCAAACTGGTTTCAGGTTGATGAGTGAGTATCTTGCCTTTCTGATTCAGTCAAGCTGGCTTTTACATCGTCATTCGTTCCACCTGTAGTCGGAACGATACTTACGGGATAAATGAATGATGTAACCTCTGTTAAATCACTCCTCTTCTTTTATTTGATTTTTATTTTACCACTTGAATCAATTCCACTTCATTTCATCTTCGCCATCTTTACTGTTATTATCATTACACTGTTTGTCAAGTACCTAATTGTCTTTGAAATTTTAAACGTAGAGTTTCCATTTGAAACCCACATTAAAAGTTATCATTGAACAGCAAAAGGTCCAGAAATGTCTAATAAGATGCATTATATTATCATTCCCTTGCTTTCTAAGTGAAACACAGAGGTTCAGCAGAATGTCATCATTTCACTCTATTCTCTCCAGTCTTTTTTGTCTGGTTCCATGAATGTCCATAAACCTTCATCCCGCCCTTACACTATATCCTCCATGTAACCCAACTTGCAATATATATTTCGAGTCTACCCAAGAGCCTCAAGTGTTATGTCACTTAACAGTCTTCTCATCACTTATCTCATCTGTCTCCCTTTCTTTCTGCGTATTTGTTGGGTGGTAGGTCTTTCGCTGACTGATTGCCAGAGTTCCTTGTTGCTTATCCTTTCTGACCGGTCACTTAATTTTCAGTACTGAGCGAACGTAGCTGTTGATGAAAGTCTTCAACCTGTTGAAAATGTTTTTCACGACATACTCAGTCTTTGAACCATTAAAAAGCACTATCTTGATACCTGTGTTGAAAATCCTGATCTTGCTTACTTATGCTGACCATAGTAAATTCCTACACTAATCTCACATTAATGAAGATCCGTCTTGTTTTCTAAATCAGATCCTAGCTGACTTAGAAATCCTCACTGATACCGTCATTTGTAGTTGAAATAATGGCATCCAGATAAGTGAAGGACACTAATTCCATCAGATTCCTCCTGTTGATGATGATTGGTGCTTTTTGTTGTTTGTTTATGACCACTGTCTTTTTTTACGTTCACTTGAATATCCTATCTTCAATACGATGTATGCTAGTGATTTTGAATCATTTCTCTAATTGCATCATCAAGACAAGTGAAGATGAAACTTGTTTAAACAGGACAAAATATGATACAAAAAGAGATGTGCTATGTTTCACGGTTGTCATTATACCCGTGAATTGGATTTGATATCAGAGATGCATCGGACATGCTCTGAGGAGACTTTTAAGTGGCGTTACGCGTATGTCACTTAAGTGGAAACCAAATAGGAGGTGACGAGATGGGCGTGGTGATATAGAAAACTTCATGTGTAGAGGAAATGTAAGTGCGTGGGTAGCCGTTAAGCCAGCTGAAAGTAATGCGAGTGAATAGAATGGAATGACGATGTGCTACTGAGGTCCTATGTCCCACTCAGAGCTCAAGCAACGAATAATAATAATAATAAGTGGATTTGATAACACGATTCTTTTTGGTAAGATTTAACTACCTCAGGAACTGGACCACAGTTCTAAAGTTCAATAGACTTATAAAGTCCTTTTGAATTTTTTCATGGATTTCTAATCAACTATTGATTTTTATCCCCTCTAAATTTCAGATTTCGACAAATATCACATCCACATGAACACAATTTTTCTGTTCCATCTTTTGGATGTGATTTTCGTCTTACAAACAAAGGAAATCAGAAGAACCTAAGCCGGCAACAATCAGTCCCTCGGACAACCTCCGAATTTAAACAAACAAATACAGCACAAATGACAACAAGTTATCAACCACAACCTTTGAATTCAGTCATCACCACGAAAGGACCTTCGGTAGATCAAACAGCAGACTTCACTTATTCTACAAGACTTCAAATTAAAGATACACAAAATGAAGCACAACAAGGCAGTAATCTTATCAGCCAAAAGGCAACTGACAGACAACCAATGACCAGTGAAGCTTCTGCTGTCTCTACTTCACCACTAGCTAAACAACTTAGATCTAGACCCGGTTCAATGTATCTCCCAAAGTTAAATGATGATGTAAACTTATCCGGGAGAAATATGAACCCGGAAAGAAACAGATTGTTACAGTTATCTCATTCTAAGTCGTTACGTAATAGTCCGGGGCTGCCTACTTCATCAGAAAGTCAGCATGGCAATACTGTACAACAGAGCGGTTCATATCTCAGCAGAAATGCAGATAAACGAATGCCTTCTTCTAACTCAATGTCACCTCTTAATAGTATGAAATATGGTAAGTACTGTAAATTTAAGTCTCATATTAACTCAATTTTTCAAAAACTTATGAAATAAGCTTTGAGATAAATACACTTAAAGTTATTCAGTTACGTGACTGATGGTCACTGGTGTCTTTGATAATTCTGTTACTGTGTTCAGCCTTGCTTATGTAAAACAAAGCTCAAACAACACAGTTTCAGCTTGAATAACGTGTGACTGGAATTTACGCCCAGAATAACGCTAATGTTATTGAGTATTGATTCCAGGGTAATTCTCTTAATAAACTGTCACAGTCCAGGGAACAATTTGAAAATAGCTGTCGTAGTTCTCATACAGCCAGTCCTTCGAACTCTGATTGGCAGTTATACTCTACTTCTTAGAGTGTTGAATACAATGGAAATATCTTCCAGCCTAAGCTTTATCACAGTTAGAAACCTCTGAAAAGACACTATATTTCAGGGAGTCGGGTATTTAACTTACCCAAGGATAAATCAGTATTACAAGATAAATGATACCTTCAGTAAATAACTACAGCGAAGATAAATTCTTCACAAGGTAGACCAACACTATATATGGACATATTATTTCATCTTAACTCCTTGAGGTCATTTAAAGCAGTCCAGGTGAAAGGCAAGCACAAAATTTGAAATTATCGTGGATCATTGAATTTTAAGTCAGAAACCATAAGTTTCCGGTTTCGATTTCTCGCGTGGTAATGGGTGCACACCATTGAAGAGTTTTAGAGGTCAGAATGCACCATCTATACAGTGGTGATTACCCTTTCTTTCCAAAGATTTGGAAATACTATCGATCACTGACAAATTAAATCTGAAATTATCATGCTTAAGAATATGGATTTCCTATAGTTTGGTTTGTAAGGGTTAGTTATGTTTTCACGAGTTGATCACGGATTGATATCAGTTAGAGAACCATTGAAAACCAGGGAGTGCTGGACAGCTGCTGTTTCATCCTAGTTTGGGAATCATCGGCAGTACGCAACCACCGGGATTCGAACCCAGGACCTTCCGGTTACAAGGCAAGCTCGTATACCATTCAGCCACTGGGAGCCGATTCAATGGCCAGGCAATGAATTATAATTTCTACCAATTCGTGATTTAGCGCGACTGGCACCAACCAATGTCATTGGTGGGACATCCATCCACACATGTGACATTTAATTGGACCTCACTGTTCACGGCTTCTCACTAGAACTCACCGCAGGAAACTCCATCCTGTAGCAAGTCACTAGCGAGCATCAGATTAATTTTCTATAGTTTGGTCTGTAAGGGTTAGTTATGTTTTTACGAGTTGATCACGGATTGATATCAGTTAGGTGAATGGATGTCCCACCAACGACATTGGTTGAGGTCGCGCTAAATCACGAATTGGTAGAAGTTATAATTCATTGTCTGGCCATTGAATCGGCTCCCAGTGGCTGAATGGTATACAAGCTTGCCTTGTAACCAGAAGGTCCTGGGTTCGAATCCCAGTGGGTGCGTACTGCCGATGATTCCCAAACTAGGGTGAAACAGCAGCTGTTCAGTACTCCCTGGTTTTCAATGGTTCCCTAACTGATATCAATCCTTGATCAACTCGTTAAGAATATTAAGCATTTATAGTTCTTCAGTTTATTTTACCTGCCGACGCACACTCGATATCTATGATCGGCCTGTAAAATTTGGGCTACCGATATCCATGCTGAAAATTCCATACTTCTACCAAAAGTACTGTGTGGAATCAAGCTGTAAACAAAATAAAAAAAATAAAATTTTAACGAACTGATTAATAACTATTTCTGTTGTTTTTAAAAAGTGAAAATCTCCTGAGTTTGATTCGTTGCTTAAATTTGTGTATTTTTAGATCCCAGTCAGCCTGGTACAACCAGTAATGGACAAACTCAACCCAGTTTCAATAATCCACAACAAGTTGAAAACCGAATGAGTTATCCCCAATGGCAACAATACCAATCACAACCACAACCAACAATGAGTCAGCCTTCACAGTCACTTCAGCCTCCGCCTCCGCCTCCTGGTGGGTGGGTTATGCCACAAACTGCAGTTTCTACACCTCAGTTGCAGACAACTGCTCCGAATAATCCGATGGCTCATACAACTTCATCACCTTATGACATGTCGAATAGTCTGGCTCAAAGCCTGTCATCTATGTCTTCATCAAATACAAACCCGGGAGCTCCATACTTATACGTTATTCCCCAAAATTATGTCCTAGCCCCTGGTATGGCTTCTTTACCGAACTCACAAAATCCCATGGCTGTCAGTTACCTTCAGACTCAGTCAGTTCAGAATCCTCAGTTGTTACCTGGTACCACTGTCCTTCAGCCACAAGTAGCTATAGTCGCTGTAGATCCAGAAACTCTGAGAGCCATACTTTCTGGTACATTTAACACACAAGCTCTATTTCCTGCAGCGAATATCTCCAATCCGGTTATGACGTCAAGCTTGAATCTACCAACGCAAACAACAGGTAATAACAATATGCCTTCATCTGTACCGGCAGTTGCAGCTAGCCATCAGATTGCAGAACCTCAAGTGACCTCACAATCTGAATCAGGCGGTGCCGGTATCCAGAGGAAGCAGCCATGGGAAGAAAATAAATATGTAAAGGTGTCGAGTTCAGGGAATGACTTAAATAATTCATTGTCAACACAGTCATCCATGAAATCTACACAGAAACCTGGTTCTGACTACTCCAGCAGTACATTACCATCACAGAATTCTTCAAATATTCCCTCACAAACACCAGCACCTAAATTAGGAAATCCTCCAAGAACACTACGTTTCCTAGAAAAGTCTGAAACAGGCGAAACCATTACCCAGACGGAAGACTGTCAGCGTAGTGGAATTCATACTGGTAGAGAGCCGAAAAAGCTAAATCCCTCAAGCTTTATCTTCCGATCACGAAAATCAGTGACAGAAGCAACTTCCAAGACTCTCGAGAATGATGCAATGAATGACTTAGAACCATGGAAAGCTAGTGACGCTGATACACTTGGTCGACGTCAAGAGGTTTCTTCAATAAGCGCTTACTACGAACAAATGAAGCGTCGAAATAATCGACCTCTAAGCGCGTATAAACCAACAACTGAATCACAACGTCCATCAACTATAAGTCCTTCTTCACTGAAATCTTCTGGAGGTTCACCAAACTTTGACAGTAGTCCTGTGAACCGCCGATCAACTCATCAGCTGACTAGAGGTCATACTATTGCTTCAAGTAAACCAGACTGTCCTCGTTCATCCACATTTTCTGAAGAACGAGCCCAACTGAAAGAGACTGATCCTTCTATAATGACTGTAGCTGAACGTGCACGTCAATGGCAGTTAGCTCAGTTAACTGGTCAACGAGATTCGCGTTATTCTACATCAGGTTTTATTGATCAAGATTTAGTTGACTGCCAGGAGTTGGTACCGGTTGAAGATAGAGTGAAAATGTTTGATACTGGTGTAGCTACCAGTCGTCAAACTGAAAAGAATCCAGAACTGACATCAGAATTAAAAGAGTTAAGAGAAAGAAAACAAGTGAAATTTGGTGAAGACAATCCAGTCAAATCGTCTGTACCTTTAAAATCTACAAATTTAGCTAATAAATCAGTAGCCTCTGTAACACTACAGGCCAGACGATTGAATCATGTCAATCCTAGAAGACCACATTCCAGTGTAAATTTACAAAGGATTAAACAGGAACCTTTACAAACAGGATTAATTCAAAAGCCTACAAATAATAATATTGCTCCAATAACACAGCAAAACAATTCGAATTTGAAAATTGCTCCAGTTAAAGGTATACAACAGTCGAATGGAGATGAATTAACTAGGTAAATGAAGTAAAAAAGTTTATCCATTTTTCATTCGCCTTTTTTACCCTGATTTTAGTATAATTTATAGATAAATCAGTCAAGTTTGATCGCGTATTGGTATTGTTTAAGGAGACATTGAGAACCAGGGAGTACTAGACAGCTGTTTCGTCCTGGTCTGGGACTCCTCATCAGTAGACACGCACCAGGACAGTAAATCCAATTCCTATAAATGAACTCTTGAAAACTAATCTGATGTTTGCTAGTGTCTGACTGACTACATGATGAAATTGCTTCGGATTCTAGTCTGAATTCGTCACTAGTAGGAGGACATATATTCGCCTATGGCACTGGCTTCATTTCTCACATTTAGCGTCGGTGGCATAGCGGTTAGGACGCTCGCCGACCATGCACATGGTCCGGGGTTCGATCCCCGGCCGACGCACACCCGATATCTATGGTCGGCCCGCAAAATTTGGGCTTCCGATATCCATACTGAAAATTCCATACTTGTACTGAAAATACGATGTGGCATCAAGTTGTAATAAAAAAAGATTTTGTGCTTAATGGCATTGATCTGTGAATTATATCTCAAAACTTAGATTAACCCATTTAGTATCACTGAGTATGAGCGCTTTCTGAATACGTCAGGTATCAAGCTGTGTAGAGCATTAAGGTGCTTACAACAGGAGAATTATTTATCAGTTGGCTTCTCAGCTAGCTGTCACAGAATCAGTTTGACTGCAGAACACAGTGGTAATTAGTAATTTAAGAATAATTTATTTCGCTAAATGATGTACAGTCCTAGTTAAAAAAGACAGCTTATATTGAAATTCCCATTCAAAAACACTATTCTTCGTATTATGCATCTATTTTTCTTTCTTTTTTTCTGTATTGTTTCGTAATGGTCTTCATTTCTCCTCTTCTCAGACTAATCTATGGCTCTGCTATTCAGGAGCCTCAGCAGAACATCTCCACTTCACTCCGTTCTCTTCAGTCTTTTTCGGCTATCTCCATGACTGTCCATAAACTTTGATTTCCTCCTCTTCACATGATCTCTTCCATGTCACCTTCCTCCAAACGCCAGCTTCATCTTTCCCTATTCGGGTTCCAATCAAGAGCCAGGAGCATTACCTCACTCAACGGTCTTCTCACCATGCATTTAATCTATTTCCACTTCCTTCTGCATATGTGCTGCTCGACTGATTCGTGGTTAGTTGACCGCATACCAAAGTTCCTTGTAGGTTATCCGTTTGCGACAGGTGGGCTGATCTTCGCTGTCATGGCTACAATGGCAGATGTTGATGAAGGTCAGAAGCAGGCTGTTGTAAATGCTTTACGTGATGCATAAGGCAAGCCTTTGAACCATAAAGATACACTGACTTGACAATAGTCTGTTAAAAAATTGTTTTTGATTAGGTATCTTCACCATATTTGTCTTCTCTGCGTTCACTTGAAGTCCTTTCTTCACCACCCGTAATATTGCTACTGTTTACACTACTTGTAAATCCAGCTACAGTTGTATATCGCTGAACACCTCTTAGTTGTATGACAGATGCCTTCAGACCAAATGTCCCTCAAAAAATTAATTGGTACTTCTTGTTTGGTAATAATTAAATCTAAATTCAATACTTTTTGAATGATCAAAGAGAAGATGGAGTCGAATAAGACAATGAGGGTAGTACTGTTGAACAGTTAGTGATTAGACGACAGCTACACTTCTGTGTTTCATTTAGATTTTATGTTCACATGTTTAAGAAAGTAACTTGCTAATGAACTATTTTGAAATAACAGAGGAGATTTATAGCTCAGGTGGATGATTTTGGTGTGATCACGTTCTTTCAGATGAGTAGGAGCTTTCATCAGCATCTCCAGAGCTGAAGATGTCCATTCATTCTGTTCAGATATAAAGAGATAAAAATGATTCCGCTTACCTCACACTTGCTGTAACCTGATTGTTTGGAGGATTTCATCATGAGCTGACATCAGTTAGAGAACCACTGGAAAACCTGCAAAAGGTACTAGAAAGCTGTTTCGTCCCAGGACGGGACTCTTCGTCAGTACGTACCCAGACTGCGTGGTTCAAACTCCGGACCTTCTGGTTACAAGGCTAGTGAGCTCGTACACCATTAAGTCACTGGGACTCGATCCAATGGTCAGCCCATGAATTCTAACTTCTGCCAATACGTGACACAGCGCGACCACTTCTCATTGTCTTCTTCAATGAGTTACTGTCTCACCAATCAAACAAAATCCCAACAATACCAATACTTGAAAATTACTCTTATCTCACTATGTCTTATAGGAAGAATCTTAAATGAATATTTCTTAAGTTATGACCCAAAATATAATGATAATAATCTCACTTTTATTATTCATGTTATTTGTTACAGTTTTATTTTGATGAATTAATTTCTCTGCATTTAAGTAGGGATTCGAATCGGCAGGAAATTCCACCGACACAATCAGGTGACTATGGCGATTGACAGTATCACAAGATACTGAGAATGGAAGTGTTTATTTCTTTCTTTTCTGTACATGTTTCTTTTTTCAAATTTGTGTATATGTAACAACAGAAGACAAGGGCCAGGCAACAGATCAGTTTTATTACGAAAACCAACAGGTATTTATATGTATTCTACGTACATTAATAAGGCTCTGCCCGCAGAAAGAAGGCGGTCTTCTGATTGGTTGTTTGCAAACAAACGCAGTCTTCTGCTTTCTCGTTTTCGATATTTCTCGGAAATGCGAGCCACTTGTCCACGTCTAGGTCAGCTGTGATCGGTTGTTGAATCAGCCCAGATTAATTTCCACCAATCAGCGTAGATCAATGTCTACCAATTGGCTAGCAGCTTGCTCTCACCACATATATACTACTTATCACTGGTAAATTAGCTGATTTAAACAACCAAAAACTATTCATATGCATTAATTTGATAATTTTAAATATTTTGAATAATTAATCAATATTATTAGAAAAATTAAACGGCGACTAATAAATTTATAAATCTGAAATCTAGCGGTATATGTGTATATAAAGATTATGAGTACTGAAAGGATTTGGATGCATGTCCGTTTAGATTTCCTCAAGAACCAACATCGGTAAGAGAATCACTGAAAATCAAAGAACACTTTACGACTCTTTCATCGTATTTCAGGATGAAATCTCTGAAGTTCTAGTTGGATGTTGTCACAGGTGGGATCCACAATTGTCAGAGTTTTGGTGCACCATCCGTAGAATGTTCATTAACCACGCACATGGTCGTGCATTTAGTCACTTGCCGACGTACTCTTAATCCTCACTTATCTGACAGTAAGTAGGGTAAAAATGGTAGCCTGGGAGTGTAACGACTAAAACCAACTCGTTATACTCTGAACATAGGCAACCGACGTTGACGTCCTATTGTACTACAGTCGAAAACTTCCTTGAGAGACGCAAAGTTATGAAACACCTCAAAGGCAGCAAGAAACTGTTACTTGTGAACAGATCAAGTGGAATATTCCCAACAAGATGGGATCAAAACTCTGTCCACAAGGATCACACACCAATGCTTCCCCACAGACAGTCCAAGATCAGAATGAATCTCACTCACTCAAACAAATCACATCGTAAAACAACACATTATCAATCTATCGCACAGCCACACAGAGAAGCATTAAAATTAAAAATTAAACAGGAACATAGACAAATAATAAAGATCAAGTCAGCATATGATATGCACATGTCAGAAACATGATAGTCTAGGAGGAAAACGGATAATAATTACGAAGTTAGGTGGAACACGTCCCCATGCTTATTTTTGCTTTCATCGAAAGAAGGCACATCGGCTGACTGGCTTCCCGAAGGCTTTTACCAGCCTGCGTCATTTCACTTTCCCGATTCCAGCGAAAAATAAGGTTATTGTCTGTATTTTTAGAATTTTGAATATATTTGTACGTTGAAGTTTTAGTAGCAGTTTGGTTAAGTTTTGGGGGTGGAGTTGCTAGCACCACGCCCCAACCCTCCCTCTTTATCCGGGCTTGGGACCGGCTGGAAAACTAGTGAGCTAGTAATCTATTCTAATTGTGGTGGACTGGATTATGCGAAAAAGACAGTGGGAAACGAGAAGACAGGGATATCCTGCACCGACGTGAAGAATCTAGAAGACCTGGGTTTCGCGGGTATTTATGTTTGATGTCACACAAAATCGAAGACTTACAAGCGAAAACCAACAAACTGGTCAAAGAGGCACCAAAGACAGGACTCCAAGTGAACATAGACAAGACGGAGGTTATGAAAATAACCAACCAACAACAACAACAGCATCGGTAACATCCAGCGCCAATCAACATCAACGAGAGGGATTTGAAAGAGGTTACTTCATTCACTTATCTAGGGAGCATTGTCTCAACCACAGGAGGAACGGACGAGGATGTCAAATCGAGAATCGGAAAGGCGAGAAACACATTCATCAACCTGAAACCAATCTGGAAATCTTCGTCACTCAGTCAGCATCAACAACAAAATTCGGATTTTCAATACAAACGTCAAGTCAGTCAGTTCTTCTATACGGATCAGAAACGTGGCGGGTCACCAAGAATATTTCCACCAACAGGTTGCAGACCTTCATCAACAACTGTCTTCGCTCTATACTGAAGATCAGATGGCCAGAAAGAATCACCAACAAGAAACTATGGGAACAAACAAAACAAGAACCAATCGCCCAACAAATATGCAGGAGAAAGTGGAGATGGATTGGACACTGGATGAGGAGGCCGCTGGGTGACATCGCGTGTCAGGCCCTCGAGTGGAACCCGAAAGAGAAGCGGCGAGTTGGTTGTCCAAGTATGACATGGAGGAGATCGTGTGAAGAGGAGTTGAAACAGTATGGATTAACATGGATGCAGGTGAAAAGTACAGCAGAAGACAGAAGCAAGTGGAGGCGTGCAGTTGAAGCCCTATGTTCCACTAGGAACTCAAGGCAACAATAAAAATAATAATAGGTTGAACACCTTAATACAAATCAATGTTGTAACTGAAT